GATACATTCTGGATATTCAATGACGCAATAAGGTCCAATGAATTAAGGAAAATCTTGATATATTCTGAGAGTTAAATGATTCATGACTCAGTTGTTGCTGTTCGAGAATTTAGACTAAAAATTATGAAACATTCTGGAGGCTTAATGACTTGGCAGGTGTTCGATAATTTTAGAGAAAGAAAAAATATATAACTCTTCCAGTTCAGGTGAGTGATTACGAACTTACCCTTTAATAGTAGATAAAAAAAACCAAAAACATTCATTCTGGGTGTTGAGTGATTGTGACTTGGTCCGATAATTTCAGAAAAAGAGAAAAAAACGCAATTCATTACGAAGGTTTAATGAATTTTCCGATGTCCGTTAACTTTAGAAAAAATCCTGATACATTGTGGCCGCTTAATGATTTTATTCTCAGTAGTTGTAAACAGTTTGAATGACATTTGAAGTTGAAGTGTTCCATTTATTCAGCAGTTTGAGGCAGAGTCCCACATAGATTTATCCCAGTTACTCTTTATATTAGTTTGACCTGTACCGATGTCACAGAGGGAGAGACTCGACTACATCATTCCACAAATATATAAAAGAAACGCGAATACAGGTAAATATTTCTAACCTGATCCCACAAATTGTCAGTAATAGTAGTAATTACGTTTCCAGCGAATATAGAACGTGAGAAGAGGTTAGGTCAGGTTAGGTTAGGTCAGGTCAGGTCAGGTCAGGTCAGGTTAGGTTAAGAAAAGATAGAGGTAATGTGAGAGGCGGAATATGTGGGTCATGACCTTATTACCCCCATTACCTGCCGCTCATATTACTGACTGGGAGAGTGACACAGTTCTTTTGTTGGAGACACACACACACACACACACACACACACGCACACACATCAATGTGAGAATTTTTGCCTTGATGTGGGTTATTTTTTATGGTTATTATACTCTCAATGTGTATGTTCGTAGGTAAAGTGTGTGAGTGTGGAGATGGTGTGTGAATGTAGGAGGGGTGTAGTGTGGGGGGGTGAGTGTGTGTGAAGTGTGGGAGGGTGTAGTAATGGCATGTGGGGGATGAATATTATTGATGAGAGTGGTAATATTAGTGTGGGGGGTGTGGTGTGTGTGTGGGGATGGTGTGTGAGTGTGGGAGGGGGTGTGTGTGTGTGTGTGTGTGTGTGTGGGGTGGTGTGTGAGTGTGGGAGGGGTGTGAGTGTGTGTGTGGGGGGGTGGTGTGGTGTGGGAGGGGTGCCTTGGTGTGTGAGGGTGGGGAGGGTTTAAGTGTGTGTGTGGGGGGGGTAGTGTCTGTGTATGTGAGGTGGTGTGTGTGTGGGAGGGTGTGTGTGTGTGTGTGTGAGTGTGTGTGAAACAATGCAATCACCAAGAGACAAGGAGAAGCAATGCAGACCTGAGTACGAAACAGTGAGATACAGAGGAAGGCGCCTCAGAGTCTTTAATACGAGGGAAACATTTCACTTTACTCACCATTTAAGGGAAATTGCCTAAGGTTATCGAGGAAGGAATTATCATAGTAGTTTTTTCTTAATATCCTTTAATTTGGGGAAGTTTTTGAATGTCTCGACAATCATGGGAAAGTATATATCTTGATTTTAGTTTTACTTCCCTGTTATTTAGGGAAACTTTGCATTGTCCATTTAATTAAGGAATAAGTTTCACCCCCTTCCTCCCTCTCTCCATCTTGGGATAATACACCAAAATCCGCTTAATCCAGGGAAATCTGCTAGGGGGTTTTATTTACCCAGTTAGGGAAACTTTTTACTGCTTATATAAACAGCGGGGAAAAACATCTCAGGTTAGGCGCTTTACTTCCCCCGCCACTTAGGTGAAATTCCCCCAAGTCTCATGAAATTCCCCCAAATTCTCCCCAAAGGAACCTCGGCCAGTGCTGCTCAAGGGCGCTGGGCGATCGTTAGAGAGATAGACCTAGTTAACTTGCTCGAGTGGACTCTCTCTCTCTCTCTCTCTCTCCGTCTGTTTGTAATTTTGTCTCTCTCTTACCCTTTGTCTCCTTGTTTATCTCTCGTTCTCTTAGACTATAATTCTCTCTCTCTCTCTCTCTCTCTCTCTCTCTCTCTCTCTCTCTCTCTCTCTCTCTCTCTCTCTCTCTCTCTTTCTCTCTTTCTCTCTCTCTCTCTCTCTCTCTCTCTCTCACTACACAGCTTTTCATAATTAAAAAAGCACCTTACCTTCCTTTCAGCCAGGTACACTAATTAACACAGTCCCCCACAGCAGTGTCAGAACTCTACATATTTCCCGCTTTTCATTCAGTTCTCATTACGTGTTGACGTGTTCAAGTTTGTGATGGTGTCGCTGTTATTATTATTATTATTATTATTATTATTATTATTATCATTATTATTATTATTATTATTATTATTATTATTATTATTATTATTATTATTATTATTATTATTGTTATTGTTATTATTATTATTATTATTATTATTATTATTATTATTATTATTATTATTATTGTTATTGTTATGGTTATTTATTATTATTATTATCATTATTATTATTAGTAGTAGTAGTAGTAGTAGTAGTTGTTGTATTATTAGTTATTATTATTTACTTGTAATAGTATCACATGAAAGACATCCCAGGCCTTTTAGCTTATCCCAATCCCCTGAGAGAGTATCCCAGGCCTCTTAGGGATATCCCATTGGTTGCTAGGGGGAGGGGGGTTGAGCCACCCTAATGAGGAAGGTAATTAACTGTGGGTGAGTGTTAAAGGTGAGGTGACCCAGATGAGTGCCGCGACCCCAAGCTTCCTGACTCTCTCTCTCTCTCTCTCTGTTCCTCTACTTTATCATCCCTCCTACCTTCCCCCCCTTTCTTCTCCTCCTTATCTCTCCCGTCCTACTCTCCTATCCCTCCTCATTTTCTCCATTCTCCTCTCCCCTTCATCCTCCTTATCACTACCCAACCTCTCCTCCTATCCTACCCTCTTCCTCCTCCTCCTCCTCTCCTACCCCCCTTTATCCTCCTTATCCCTCTTACCCTCACCCCCTCCTTATCCCTCTCCTAACCCCTCGTCCTCGCCTCCTCTCCCCTACCCTCCTACTCCCCCCTCCTTATCCCCCACCCCTCCCCCTCCTCTCCTAAATACCTCATCAGCCAACTTCCCGGAACTCTTGCTAATAAAATTCAAGAAAAAAGTCATACACCTTAACGACCCTTAACGAGGAAACTGCCTTGTTTCATCTCCCAGCCCAATTTGTACTGGCGATGATAATGCAATGTTTTCAGGGGCTTTTTGTTCTTACCGGGGAGGAAAATAAAGATACGAGTGAGTGTTAGTCTTGGTGGAGAGAGAGAGAGAGAGAGACTGACTTGAAGCACCCACACTTCACAGACTCTCCTGCCCTGATGTCTTAATTAAAACCTGACGACACTTAACTCTGATATTTCAATCGCACACACACACACACACACACACACACACACACACACACACACACACGCGCGCGCGCGCGGACACGTACTCATATACACACGCGCGCGCACGCACACAAGCGTATCCGTGTATGTGTGTTGGTGTGAGAGTACTTTAGTCTACATGTATGTACCCTAGAGTTTGGTTGTATGCATAAATACATATATTATTAGGGAGACTGCTGGCGGCCGCTGTTATCATGGGGTAATTATGGAAATTCGGGCAATATTTATGTAAATTATTCCCGAGATATTAAAGGTCATGACCTTTGTTGTGGCACCATCACAGGTCATGATGATGATAATGAGTGACCTTTGTTGTGGCACCATCACAGGTCATGATGATGATGATGATGATGATGAGTGACCTTTGTTGTGGCACCATCACAGGTCATGATGATGATGATGATGATGAGGAGTGACCTTTGTTGTGGCACCATCACAGGTCATGATGATGATGATGATGATGAACCTCACCATCACAGGTCACTAAGGTCATGATGATGATGATGATGAGTGACCTTATGTGAGGGTTGTGGCTCCATTCCAGGTCATGATGATGGTGATGGTGGTGGTGATATATATGTGCTGAGTCAGAAATTTATGTAGGTTGAGTCAGGTGTGTGGAGGAGGTTTGAGTCTCAACCACAGGCAAAAAACTGTGAACGTGACACAACTGACTAAGAAAGTTGCCGAGTTGTGAGTCTCCGGGAACTCCTTCACTAAATTACCTTGTTCGAAGCTACACTCTAACCTGCCTTGTATGCAAACCCTCCCCTCCCTGCTCCTTCCTTTCCCTCTATCCTCTCTCCCTCGCTCCCTCCATTCTAGTATACCTCCATCTCTTCTCCTTCCCTTCCCTTCCTCCTTCCCTATCTTCCTTCCCTCCTTCCTTTCTAACCTTCCACCCTCTTTAAATCCTTTCATTTCTTCCCCTTTAAATTCTTCTCTCCTTCCCTCCTTTCTAACCTTCCTCCCTCCTTTCTCCCCCCCCCTTCCATCCCTCTTTCCCTCTCTTTCCCCTCACTGGAAAAGACAGCTGCCCAACACGATATTCCCCGCGGCCTATCTCACACGTGAGGGGAATTCGACACCAAAATCAGACACTCTTGGTAACTGTAATGAACATAGGCTGTGTGTGGGAGAGAGGGGGAGGAGGCGGGGAGAGAGGAGAAGGGAGAGGAAGGGGGAGTTTTGTTATTGTTCTCACACAGCATTCTCCCCCTTCTCCCCCTTCTCACTCCCCATGTACACTCACTCTCCTTTGTTCTCTCTTTCTCTCATCCTGTAGGCCAGGTTAGGAAACAACAACACAACCAAGAATGACTTACTCTCATAACAGGTAAGTTGTGACCCCCAATTACTGGCCTGAGAGAGAGAGAGAGAGAGAGAGAGAGAGAGAGAGAGAGAGAGAGAGAGAGAGAGAGAGAGAGAGAATACATACACAAAGAGACGGAGATAGACTGATACATAAATAGACAGATAGATACATAGGCAGTCATACATAGGCAGTCATACATAGGTATCATAGGTATAAAGACAGACAATTACACTTACTTTACTTAATATCGTGAGGTAGTTAACATCATCTCTCTCTCCTGAAGATATAAAAATAAAAATAAATATTAGAATAAATGTCAAAAGTTTTTATAAGTTATACAGCACAAGAGATGAATATATTATTGATGAATTTACTGTCAATTATAGTAAGTGTTTATTGTGAGGGAGGAGAGGTACCTAGCTCTCTCTCTCTCTCTCTCTCTCTCTCTCTCTCTCTCATGTAACGTTTCCCTTCTATATTGAGGGAGAAGAAGAGTTACCTCACCATCTCTCTCTCTCCCTCACACTACCTGGATGGATAGAGCTTTTCCCTCCACCTAATTACCAACTTTTGGGCAACTTTCTAATTAATTTGACCAACTTAAAATGAATCCGCCTCAGTAAACCTTCACTATATCGTCGAGTTAGATCAAGTAATCCACTGTTTCCTCCTGTTACTTTTTTTATATATATACACTTAATTATATATCTATCTAATTACCTATATATATAATTTCCAAACAGGTTTTGTGATTAATTATGATGGTTATTGTACTCTCTTGTGTGTCAAATGTTTCCCGTAAATATAAATCGGTGTCCATAAATTGAACCAAATATTAAATTCATATATTCTGAGGCATCGATTCTTCCCTACCAGAGTGTGAAGTGGTTCTTTAGTGTGTTGTGTTGAGTGTTGCAGCCTTTAGTGTGTTGTGTTGAGTGTTGCAGCCTTTAGTGTGTTGTGTTGAGTGTTGCAGCCTTTAGTGTGTTGTGTTGAGTGAGTGTTGCAACCGGACATAAGCTCAATGATGTGTGATGTGTGGACAGGTCTTGTTGTTGTGGTATTAGTGGATGATATGAAGCTAGACACCCCAGCTTGTTTCATCAAATGCTTACTACGTATCTTGATGCTAACCTAACCTAACCTAACCAATGTAACTTAACCTAACCTAGCTAAATCTAATCTAACCAAATAATTAATATAAACTAACCCAATTTACACTTAGCCTCCCCCGTAGTTAGTGTTAAAGTGTTTAATCACCAGGTGAAATAATTTATGATGGGGTTTAATCCTTCCAGAACCTAAGATATATTCTATGATAACAAAAGACCGTAAGAATTCAGACTGAAATATAAATATCATCAGCTTAAAAAGTAAACCTGGAGTTGCGCATTTGCTTCGGCCGTTTGCATTTGCTATGTAAATTTGTCCATGAAAATAGGAAAAATGCTAATGTCTCGTCTGGGCAAACTCTCCTCTCAGCGAGCATTAGTGGGCCAAGCTGAGGTAAAAGTGAAAAGATTTCCTCATATTTAGCATTTAATTCCATCTAAAACTGGGCTGTTGGGATTTTTTTTAATTAGCATATGAATGAATATAGAAACTAATGCAGGGAGGCTGATGGAAAACTGTGAGATTATGAAGATGAGAGAGAGAGAGAGAGAGAGAGAGAGAGATTGATTGATTGATTGATTTTGCAGACTTTTGCCCGAACTTTCAAAACTTTTCCCCAACATTAATGCTGATTGACCTAAATTTAGAACACACACACACACACACACACACACACGTGGGCTCAAACACTTTCCTTTGATCAAATAATTCAATCTGTTGTCTCTCAAACGTCATTCTATATGTTTTTGATGACAGAGTGGATTGGTAATCATTTTATGACAGTTCGGGGAATTTTGTCACAGTGGGTCGATGTTTTCGTTAGATAGGATCACAGTTATAATAGGCTGGGATCCTAATAGGTGACACCCAACCTTTTATAATCTAACGGAGCATCACCTAACCTAACAACATGTAATCTAACCTAACCAAACGATTTAACTTAACCTAACTTAACTTAGTTGTTGAAGCTCAGTAACAACATTTTAACGTCAATGTTATTCCGCCTTATTACCTGAAGAGCTTTTACCTCAGGTTATTTTAATCCCTGACACACACACAGACTGTCTCAATCCCTCTGTCTGTTTCTGCTTCGCTTCTGTCTGTCTGTGTCTCTGTCTTTGTTTCTTGTCTGTGTCTGTCTGTCTCAACCTGGGGCGTATTCTGAACTATGAATATCGCTAGAAATTCTACTGTATATCTCACCCTCACTCTCGCGTCCACCACCGCATGAAACTTTGATGAGCTGGTGGAAGTTCCGGTTTTATTTACACACCTGTCTCTTGCACCTCCTTGAATTACTTCCACCTGTGAGTGTTGTATACCTGGTGTTGTGTTGTGGTATGCATGAAGGAAAATTTTAAATTCAAAATGGCCGCCATGATTTTTTCAGAAAAGTGTATTTTGCTTGTCTGGTTTGATATATTTCTTGTGTTTGGCTGTTGTATATAACCCAAACCCAACCTAACGTCACCTCACCTCACCCAACTTAACCTTCTCTTCCCCAAAACATAACAGGATTGTCACTATTTTACGTCAGTGTGTCATCGGATATGCCAATACGTGTTAAGCCTTATGCCTCTGATTCGACATGTTATACGGAGTCTAATTGAATTTACTGTCAGCTAATTGTCAGTGATGTGACTATTTTTTTCTTTTTCAGTTTATTCAGTTGAGATTCAGTTCAGGTTTGCCTATAATGCTTTAGAGATGTATGAGGAATTATATAGTTGTTTTTACCTATAATTTTATGTTTTTATTTGTCTTTATAGGCGGGGGGGAGGGGAGGAGCGGAGAGGGGGATGGATTGAATGTGTGTATGTTTGTATATGTGTGCTTTTATCTATGTGTGTGTATCTACTTCTGTGCGTCCCCAACCACCCCTCCTCACCTCCCCAACCACCCCTCCTCACCTCCCCAACCACCCTCCACCTCCCCCAGCACCCCTCCTCCCTCCCCCAACACCCCTCCTCACCTCCTCAACCACCCCTCCTCACCTCCCCAACCACCCCTCCTCCCCCTCCCCAGCCACACCCTCCTCCACCTCCCCAACCACCCCTCCTCACCCCTCCCAACCACCTCCCTCCTCCCCCAACCACCCCTCCTCCACCTCCCCCAACCACCCTTCTCCACCTCCCCAGCCACCCCTCCTCCACCTCCCCACTTCCCTCCTCCCCTCCCCTAAGTTCCCATAGATTCACAATTTACGCACTAAAGTCTTCTTCTCTCTTTCAATTAAAAGTTTTTCTGTTGTTCTACTGAAGCAATTTAGAAAGTCAACTGTGGAACGAAAGGAAAATGTGGGAGCTGCCTTAGGTGAAATATATCCTGGTGGGGTATACTGTATGTATGTATTAATCTACACACACACACACACATACACTCACACACACACACACACATACACACACACACACACATACACACACACACACAAGTATTTTATCGTAGCTAACTTTAGGTCTGCACAACACTGATGGTAAGGATTTTGGAATTAAGTTTTGGGAGAAGCTAAAGTTGTGGGGTAAGTTCCCGTGTTCCTGCAGGGCGAGTGCCTCTAGGAATTGAATACCCAGAACATCACAAGGTTGTAGGTAAGATGGAGGATGGGAAGGAGGGAGAGTGGGATGGAGGGAGGGAGAGATGGTTGGGGGGGGGGTGGAAGGGGGGAAGAGAAAGAGGGAGGGATGAAGAGAAGGAGGGAGGGAGAGAGTGATGGAGAGGGAGAAGGCGCGAGGGAGGGAAGGAGGAAGGAAGGAGGGAGGGAAGTAATGGAGAGGGAGGGAGGTAAGGTTGAGCCTTTGTTAAGGAGTCTGGTACTCAGTTTAATAATAATAGTAAAAGAGATTTTACCCTCCGGAAATATAACAAAGAAGAAAGATACGGCTCTCTCTCTCTCTCTCTCTCTCTCTCTCTCTCTCTCTCTCTCTCATCCATCTATCCATCCCATTTGCCTTTCTCACTTACCATCCTACTGTTCCACATCCTATTCCAGAGTCCTATAATCCTTCCTACATCCCATCCTCAGTCCCTGCCACCATCCCTCTGGACAGACGAGATGTGATCAATTCTAGCAGTTTATCGCTGAACCTTATAGAGAATCCAGGATTTATTGAGAGATTAGACGGATTAACCCTCAACCAATCACAGAGCTTCGTCACCATGTAAACAACAAATGAAAGGAGAATTTTGATTGGTTACACGCACCTTTCATTCACCCAATAAGAACTGACATAGCCACTGATAGAATTCTGATTGGGTGTATATCCCTTATCCTTGACAATGGGAGCCAATCACATATGAGATAAATTTGGCGCCCCAAAATTCTGCTTTGAGTATTTCAGAACGTGAAATGGCGTCGTTATATTACAAAGACAAACAAAAACATTAACAAAATTGTTTGTGTCGCGTTCTTTACTTTCCCGAGGTTGTTTGTTGTTGTTGTTGTTGATCGAGTATGAAAGTTACTTCTTAATAATTGTATAAGAAAACTCTTATGCAAACCGGAAATAAGGATTATTCTTTATACGGTTCATGTTATATAAGTATGTTTACTCCTCTTAGGTAAGGAACAGCTGGTGACATGAAGAGAAGAGAAGAGAGAGAGTTAAATCTTTATCAGCTGTGAAAGGCATTATATCTGTGAGGTATATTGTAATATGAACACAGAAAAATATATCTTGCAACTTTACTGTTTCTACACTATATTCCCCTGAGAGAGAGAGAGAGAGAGAGAGAGAGAGAGAGAGAGAGAGAGAGAGGGAGGGGACACCCCCCTTCTCTCCTACACCCCCTACCCCCTCTGTAGGTCCCTCGGGGTGGCAACAACGCTACATCAGCTAATATTGTTGAGTGGTCTTCTCCCCTCTCCTCCCCCTCCTTCTTAAGCCTCCTTCTTACTTCCTCTGTCCTCCTCTTCCTCCTCCTCCTCCTTCATAACCTCCTTCTTACTCCCTCTTCCTCCTTCTGCCTCATACCTCCTTTATCCCCTCTTTTTTCCTCCCCCTTTATCTTACCTCCTCCATTCCCCCTCCCTGTCCTTCTCCACCTTTCTGCTCCTTCCTCTACCTTTCTCTCCTTGTGTCCTTTCCTACTTCTTCCTTCTTCTCTCCATCCTCTACTTCTTCTCCACACACGAAAAGTAACTAATAATGATATAAAATTGTA